TTACTATTCTTAAAAGACTGCTCAATAGAAGTTAGAGCGAATATAAATATCTATTTAAAATTATAACATAAATATGTTATAACATAAATAACATATTTATATTTATAATTTTAAATAAATTTTATATATATATATATATATATATATATATATATATATATATATATATATATATATATATATATATTCTAAAAAAGAAAACCACTATTTACCTCCCACTACTTTTTATAAATCTCAACATCAACCAACGAGTGGTTTAGAATCCGTAGGCGAAATCACCCACACGCGAACTATTAATGGTGTCATCGGCTTTCGGCATTTTGAATTTAGTTGAATTCATGAACCTATTAAAAAATCCATTTTTCATGAACATAAACAAGTGTTAGGCGTACATGATAGCCTTTACTGTTGTGGTCAGATATCCACTTCAAAAGGTCAGGAAACAGCCCGAATGATATCTGCCAGTGACAGGTCACATGACAGTTTTTGAAAAGCTGCTTCCTGTCGCTATCTTTAATTTTCTAAAATGGTTCCGAATACTTGTCTCTTGGCTTTTGCTCACCTGGTGTAAATATCAAAGGGTCAAAACTGTTTCCTTTGAGAAAATAAAAAGCTTCGGCTTTTAGTGAAAAAAAGATATGAAAGAAGATGGAGGAAAAATAACTTTATCATTGGAACTTTTAAACTTAGTTTTTTTGTTATTTTATCAAATCAGGTCGTAACAAAACTTGTTAATAATCTAAACAACGCTTGTTTGTATTTTCATTGCATCAAAAGAGAAGACATAATAACATAAAACAGGCGACATTTTTTAATACGTATATCGATAATATATATATATATATATATATATATATATATATATATATATTGATGTAATGGAATATGCATAAACCTGTGTTCCCCCTCACTGGAATATGATTAGCTGGTGTCCGTAATAAATACCGACGGACGTGTAGGTACGAGAGTCAAGAGCCTTAGTCTGAGTGCTAAGTCTATAACAACGCCTATTAGACTACGCCATTGATCTACACTTCTTACCTGGTGACTACGACGCGTACCAGTCGATTACTGCTACCGTATTCTACTTGGTTATAGTAGCCAAAAAACTTAGCTACTTCGTTCAAATATATCCCTTTCCGCGATATATATATATATATATATATATATATATATATATATATATATATATATATATATAATTTCACCCCAAGCAAGGCGGAATTCCACTAGTATGTAGGGGGTTACAGGGAGTGAATGTGGAATGTGAGGGAAAAGAATCAGTATAGGGAGGATTAAGGAAAGGAGAAAAGATGAACACGATTCAAGAAGATAGAAGATGGCGATTGACGTTGCATTTAAATTTTTTGAGATTGTAGCTGTCAGGGATGTAAGGAAACGGTAGGGAGTTCCACAGACGGGAAGTGCGAGAAAATAAACTGTTGGCGTAGAAGTGGCGATTGCATTTAGGAAACGGGTGAGACCTAGATGCCAATCTAGTAGTACGCTTAAATTCATGTAGTCTATTTCTTATAGTTATTTAATGCTGTCTCTGTCTCTCTTGTTCCCGCCTAGCACCAATGACGATGAAAACGGAGAGCCTAATACCAAGATTTGACTTGGTTGTCATAGAAACAATTGAAAACTATTTACACTATTTATATAAGGACTATTGTCCTTATCTTTATTGTTTTTATCACAATAAATTGTGCCCCCGGCCTTCCTCAGGTGTATAAATAATATAATAAATATTGGTATGATTATATATATATATATATATATATATATAGTGATTATTCAAGCGTAGCTCGGATGTGGCACAAGGCCGAAAGATTGGGGCACCCAGTGAGGAACTTGCTAACCATTACACCACCTCGAGGTGCATATATATATATATATATATATATATATATATATATATATAATCATTTCACCCCAAGCAAGGCGTGAATTCAACTAGTACGCAGGGGGATACAGGGAGTGAAAGTGGGGGAAAAGAATGAGTTTAGGGAGAGTTAAAGAAAAGAGAAAAGATGAACGGGATTCAAAAAGATAGAAGATTGACGTTGCATTTAAAATTTTACAGATTTTAGTTATCAGAGAAGCAAGTAAACGGAATGGGATAAAATAACTTCTTCTCACGATCCACTGCCTTGTGGAACAATTCCCAAGTGGGTAGTTTTCACGGTCGTTACGCTCTTAACCTGCTTCAGTTCAGGGTTAACCATTATCTTTCACCCTTATCTGCATAAGCTGTAACTATTACTCTGTAACACTCTACCTCGAGTGTCACTTGGGCCTTGTATAGCGTTATAATAATTATTTAATGTTTTAATGATTGGCTCCAACATTAAAGCATTAAATAATTATTATAACCTTAGTATACTTGTATTTTGATTGGTCATTTCAGCTCATGTGACAGCGTTTCTCCTAGCGAGGCGTGGTTAATTGATTTGAACCTTTTAAAACCTTTTATTCTACATTCAACATCATCACTTGATAAGACACCAGAAGTGTTGACACAAAATGGCTATTTTTGTAGTGATTTTCTAACATATTTATGTTATAATTTTCGAATAACTAATTATATTTTGTCTACTCTGTATTGAGCACTCTTTTAAGAATAGTTTTTGTTGGTTATTGGAATTTATTCCGTATACACCAATCCTATACTTATATATATATATATATATATATATATATATATATATATATATATATATATATATCGATATTTAAAAAGCATAGCATAGTCTGGCACAAGGATATGTGTACATATTCCATGGTGGATCATTATATAGAATTTGCTACTTGGCTAGCTGAAGTTCATTGTAAGCTTAGTCTGACGCAAGGCCACATTTATCGAGAACTTGGTGAGAGTTGATAATGTTCTGAGGTCTTAGCTTGTTAACGTCTAGCCCTTAAGGAGAAAAACAGCAGGAGCACCGGTAAGCATTGATGTCTTTAATACGCGAGTCTTTAGGCAAACGTTGGTCAGGTTTATGCCATATTCTTGAAACTTTCACCCGGTAGCTGGCCAACTTTGTGAGATTGTTAGTTTTCTGTAAGGTAGGTAGAGACTATTTTCATAGGTCTGTCTACAGGACAATGGTTAGAAAAGAGAGAGTTTATGCTAATGATAATATCCTCGCTGACAATAATGCTGCTGATGACCATATCATTACAAAACGTGTATGAAAAACGAAAGGAAGGATAAGATGAAAAAGACTGATAGCAAGCATCACTGGTAAAATAATAGAAAAATAATGTTTAAAAAAAACAAAAAACAGAATGAAAAACTAAGAAAATAAAACAGAAAAGAGAAACTTTTGTATTTACAGCTATGGCGCATAATCCACATTAGCAAACACGATTAGACAAGAGATGTTAAATATACCGGAGCCGTTTCTTTATACATATATATATATTTTTTTTTTTTCTTTTAATGGTCCTTTTTACTGAGTTACTTTTTCTTATTTCCATGTATTCAAACACGGATTATGATTCTAACAGACCGGCTTCTTTCTACTGATGTTTCTATTTTGTCACTAGACGGCGCTAGCTGCAATTTTAAAACAATTTGTAACTTGAAACACAAGCATAAATAAATAAAAGAAAGAAAGGAAATGAGAAAAGACAGAATAACAACAATAAAAAAATATATAAATAAATTCAGTTCAAAAAATGCAGACGATAGTTCTAACAATACAATGCTGGTGTAATAAAAAATAAATTGACACACGAATAAATGGAATCAAGAAAACTGCAAGTGAATAGAAAAGATATCAAAAACGAAGTAAAAAGCCTGACATATTTTTTCTACTTTGGAATAATTATACTTAAAAGCCAACGACACGTCCCTAAAGAACGGAGAACGTGAAGAATAATAAGATCCTTGTCACGCAATGGGATTTATCTCGTCTGCTTGTGTTCCGGCTCTCAGGAATGGTAAGCCGCGTCTTTTCGGCGTCAAATTCTTCCCTGCCATGAACATCTTTTTCGAAATTATCATCATCGATTAGGAATCCTTATTTATTTATTTATTTGCACATTTATTTACTTTACCACTGGTGCCAGAGATTTTCAGAAAAAATAAAATCTAAGGTCATATCACGAAGAAGACATCTCATGAACGCAATGTAAAGTAACCTTAATTCGTTCTAGATATAAGAGATTTGATGGTTGTAATAGTTTGTATATGTTGTTAAAATTGACAGCGAATTTTGTTAAATTCTTACTATTATTAGCTTTTCGTATATGATAATTTAAATATATTTTTGCAATTATTATTTTTAGGGGTAGAATTCATACAATACTTGGCTCGAGAGCCACTCAATTTAAAATGTTTCTGTTAAAATGGGAATGATGAATGAGGTATGTGATATGAATAAAAGAGGAGGAGGTAGTTAAAATCATGGGGAGAAAGAGGATAGATAAAGATTGACCCTTGATATGAATAAATATTTCGACATCTTCGTTGACGCAGATAGTGACGAAGGACAGAATTCGGTGTTCCAATGTCAGAAGGGAGGATGGTCATGTTCAAAAGAGAGAAAATAACAACAATGGAAACGAACTGCGCTTCATTTTGCACAATGATGGATCACCAAAAAAAAAAAAAAAAAGAAAAATGGAGCACGTTATGCATTTTTAGTTTAAACTTCTGATCAAAATCGTTAGATAATCGTGCTGTCAATAATCTGCCTGTTCCTTCCTATCTATCTATCTATCTATCTATCTATCTATCTATCTATCTATCTATCTGTATCTATCTGTTAATATTTACCTATGTTCCTTCCTTCCTATCTATATATCTGTTAACATCTACATGTGTTCTTCTCTATCTTTTAATATGTAAATTTGTTCATATCTATCTATCTATCTATCTATCTATCTATCTATCTATCTATCTATCTATCTATCTATCTATCTATTATTAATGTTTATCTATCTATCTATCTATCTATCTATCTATCTATCTATCTATCTATCTATTATTAATGTTTATCTATCTATCTATCTATCTATCTATCTATCTATCTATCTATATTGGAGATTTTGAGGAGCGTGGAACCGACTCTTAACTGCTGTTGACCCTAGGGCTACCCTGACCCGGGTTGATAGCCCCTGTTAGAGTCCAATCTATGGGCAAATATTAAACCCCCAAATAAAAACCAAACACTATGAAAGTATTAAAAATACATTTTTCTGGTGAAGATGCCAGCAATTCGCTTTTATATAAAACAACGACAATATAGTAAAATTACCAACAATATAGTAAAATTAAGAACAATACATTTTTAAAACAAAATGACCAACAATACATATTATAATAGAATTACCAATGATACATTTTATAGAAAAATGACCAACAATACATTTTATCTTTAGCTGAAGGCATAAAATTGTGTTCAAAACATTGAAATTTCATCATAAAATAACCTATAGAGATTGTTATGCCACTAAACAAAATCAAACGAGTAACATTTAATTTACGTCTTTCTCCGAGAATATATTTTGAAACGATAATTAGAAGAAACAGACAATGGCTAAACATCCGGTCCATTTCTACATTTTTCCAATATGATGAAAAACTAAATGTTTTTGTGAAATATATGCACGACAGTCAATGTAATTTATTACTTGTCTCTTGCTTCAGAAACATACGACCGTATAATTCTCAAGTCATATGATACAAGAGAAAAAGAAAAAAACGGAAGGCTATGTGTAGGTAATTCTCAGCCACTGAGAGGATATTAATGGGCACATAATATAATTTCTAGTCTAATGAAGTGAGATATTAGATTCACCATCGGAAGTCGATAGGAAGAATATGGTAAAATTTGGCCTTTGAGATCACAGTAGGATATTGAAGACAGAAGTACTTTGCGACCTTTTTTTTTTTTTTTTTTCTTCAAATAATTACACTTTTGGGGGTTTATTGGTACAAGGGAGTAACTAGTGCAGAAAATGAGACACTAGGTAGTGTTGATATCCAAGGTGACTCGGGGTCAGCAGAGGATATTAAAAAAAAATATAATCAATGCTATAAAAGGAGACATATTTATAAAAATAAGAATACGAAAAAATATTAAAAACAGCAAAGAAATTTTTTTTCCTGACATTTTTGTATTTTTTTCCCAATTGTCATTTATATTCTTTTACTTTTTGTCCAATTTCCTCCTTTTTTTTAAAAAAAAAAAAAATATGTTTGTTTTTATAGCATTGATTAAATTTTGTGCCTCGTATAAAATCTTAAAAAAAAACAAACAAACATAAAAATAACTTTTTCCACTATCACAACCACTCTCCAACAAGAAATGAAAAGAAAGTTGGCTCCCTGTGCAGTGCCAGGAAATTTTTCTCCCCGGAATCGATCCTCCAGATCTACAAATCAACAATTCGCCCTTGCATGGAGTATTGTTGCCATATATGGTCTGGAACCCCTCTGTTTCCTCGGGGTTCTTGATAGGCTCCAGAGGCGGATATGCAATATAATTGGCCCTGTTCTGGCATCTCGTCTACAGTCACACTCTCACAGACGCGCCGTCGCCTCTCTCTGTCTTTTTTACAAATACTTTCATGGCAATTGCTCCTCGGGGCTGCATTCGCTGGTTCTCAGACTTCATGAGTTCAAGCGCAATACGAGGCTGGCATCCCGCTCTCACCCTTTCACTGTCGAAACTCCTAAATGTGGCCGTCTTTTCTACTCCAATAGCTTCATGTCTCGCATCTCTCGCCCGTGGAACTCCCTTCCTTATTCCAGTTTCCCTGATAGCTTTAATCTCCAGCTATTCAAATGTAATATCAATTGACATCTCCAGTTGTCTTGATCTATCCACTATCCTTCTCCTCATCCTTTCTTCTATCACTCCTATCTGATCTTGCTCCAAATTTTCTGTAACCCCTTGCGTCCTAGTGGCTTCTCGCCTTGCTTGGGGTGAAACGCTTAAAAAAAAAAAAAAAAAAAAAAAAAAAAAAAAAAGGGTTTAAAGCCTAATAGAAACTTGGGATTTCTGCTTAGTTTTATCGGTAAAATGTCATATTGGAAGATATGTATAACTACCGACACCGAGGTTCGAACGTGACACTCTGGACTTATGAATATATGTTTTCCTCTTGGTGTATAAGTAGCGGTGTCAGGCTACTGACTGAAGTGATTATTGAGTGACTATTGAGCGGAACTATCCAGTCGAATTAGTGTGAATTATTGTGCGTCGATGATTTGGGTTTAGATTTAAGATTTACCGGACGTTAAGCCAAGCCACGCTACTAAAAAGGTATTCATTGAAATGGTTAATTATCTTTTGTTGACTTTTACTTCTTTGTTCTTGTTAAGTATTTATTTGCAGTTGTAATTAAATACTATTTTATCCTAACATTGAAGTCTTGAGTTATATTTAATTATTAACGGCCACCGTACGCCAGAAAATAAACAAATCGTATAAAATTAGTAAAACCAGGCGTAACACTGAAAATATCCCTTCAGACAAAACTTCTTTTAATATTTCAGCTATTTTTAATGTAAGAATTGTCGCAAAAAGAAGAAACGTATACTAAATTCTTAAGCAAGTCTTTCTCCAAAGGTAAATGCATTAAAAAAAGATAACATTATTGTAACAAATTTCCGGAGATTTACAGCTGTACTAGAGTAGCAATGTCGGCTGATATCTTATTAAATGGAAAACCGCTGACCTGTCACAAAAATGGATACAGATATTTATTTTCCCGATAGTTATCAGGTGGGTGAAGTGGATTCCATAAGTACATGGCAAGAAGCTCGGACAAAGAGAGTCACTGAATGAATAAAATTACATTTTTAGATAAAGATGACAAGACAAAGAACAATGTACTCCATAAGACAGTGGTCACTACCCGACAAAAATCAGAGAGACGAAGAGGGCCTACACGAGAAAATGTGTGTTAGAATGCTCACATCCCACTTGCCTACGCCTTATCTCGGCTTCGCTTTTCAATAAGAGTATATTACAATCTGAGAATAAAATTTGATTCAGTCATTTATGTGCCATGCGTGATACACGCTTAGGCGATCATGTATCTTTCGATACATGACTGACCAGGCAGGTTTTTTTCCAGCAATAGGTTGCTATTTCTTTCTGTGGTAGTCCATTTGCCATCAAAGGATATAGAACCCGGTCTGTCCTGCTATTTACCCATAGCTAGGGGGAGAAGACGAGGATTCATACCTTTCCCAAGGGTATTAGCAAGTGAATGTAATGTCATTCCTAAGTGAATGTAATGGAATTCGAACTCGGCTCCCCGATTCCTCAATCCGAGCCGCTATCCATTACTCCATTGTAACTCTTGTGGTATTAATTCGTAGGTAACGATCTGGCTGAAATGTTATTTTTAAGCCACAAGCGTCTGACAGGAAGAAGCTGCACCCTGAGAACGAATCTGGTATTTGGGCTGAGCTGCAATGCTACACTAGTCACTTGACAGTTCAGCACACTTTGGGGACTTTTCAGAAATCAACTGCATTCCTCAGTTGCCTTCCTTTCTTTAGCATGCGAAGACACGACCGTCCAGAGTTGGGCAATGAGCACGTCCGGCTGTCAAGCATCTTCTCTACAGGAGTAGATAAAAACGGAGATGCGTTCATTCCTAGTATAGCTATAAGTCCAACTTGTAGGTGAATTTAAAGATCATCAATCACAAATCAGAGGTAACACTAGTCTATCTCCTTATGTATCTTATCGTGATCACTCCCCACACACAGACGCGTATGTATATATATTTTCATTCCCTGTAAATCTATCTATCTATCTATCTATCTAGTATTAGTTTTTCATATATCACTAGGTATATATCTAGCGAGTGTTACTCTAGTTTTTTCTCTTATTCATCTTTCTCTCTTTTTCTTTCTTTCTATTCTTTCTTTTTTCTTTCTTTCCTTCTTTCTTTCTTTCTTTCTTTCTTTCTTTCTTTGTCTATCTATCTATCTATCTATCTATCATTCTATCTATCTATCTATCTATCTATCTATCTATCTATTTAGTTTTTCATATCCCCCTAGGTAGATATCTAGCGATTGTTACTCTTTTTCTTTCTTTCTTTCTTTCTTTCTTTCTTTCTTTCTTTCTTTCTTTCTTTCTTTCTTTGTAGATGTTTATCTATCTATCTATCTATCTATCTATCTATCTATCTATCTATCTATCTATTTAGTTTTTCATATCCCCCTAGGTAGATATCTAGCGATTGTTACTCTTTTTCTTTCTTTCTTTCTTTCTTTCTTTCTTTCTTTTCTTTTCTTTCTTTCTTTCTTTCTTTCTTTCTTTCTTTGTAGACGTTTATCTATCTATCTATCTATCTATCTATCTATCTATCTATCTATCTATCTAGTTTTCGTTTATCATTTTTTGTTTTTCAGTTTTCATTTTTCATTACATAGATATCTGGTGAGGTATGTTCGAGATGTTTTCTCATCTTTCTCTTTCTTTCATTCTCAGTAAATCTATCTCTCTATCTAATTTTAGTTTTTTCAGATCTCACAAGTAGATATCTAGCGTGTTTTATTCTAGTTTCTTATTCATCAATCTCTCACTTTCTTTTTTTTTGTATATTTGTATATCTTTATCTCTTCATCTCTCTATCTTTTCTCTCTCTCTCTCTCTCTCTCTCTCTCTCTCTACTTATCTATCTACATACATACATGAATAAGAGTTGGGATTAGGATTTATACTTATGGCTTATAGGAAAAACAAGGATTACAGTTAAGCTTACGAATAAAACGAGATCAAGAATCTTCCAGATCCCATGAGTTAGAACAAGCCAAGACAATGTCAAGCTGACTAGAGGAAATACAACAGAAGAAAAAAAGGTCAAGATATTGATTTCTCCTTTTTAATATTACATTTATTTTTGTCTAAAGACGTTTGCGTGAAACATTACCAACTGTCAGCAATCGTGTGTTGATCATACTAATTAAAATTAAAGAAAATTCCCATAATTCCGAAAAACATTGAATATTGGCTTCCGGAAAAATTGAATGATGATGCAGATATTTATATTTGCATTTTTCTGTGTTTGTCTTGAGGTTATTTCCGTTTATATTATTTAGTGTTTGGTGTTTAATTTGCGGCCAAAACCAGACATTGAAAGTGAGGCTAATACCCAACTCGAAGCCAATAGCAATAACCAAGCCGCCTCCATTTTGAAATAAAAGCTAAACAATTTTCCTGCTCATCTGATGTTTTAAGATACTTGCAGGTTTGCTTTGATTTCATGGTCATAACAGATTAAAAAACCAATGAATGATCTGTATTAATTATTTTTGTTGCCCTTTTCAGTATTTCTAATAATTGATTGTGATCTCTGGTTGGCATTGGTAAATAAAAGTTTCGGCCAACATTAGACGTTTGTCGTTTGTTATATCATTTATTTTATTAAGATACTAGCAGCCATACCCAGTATTGCCTGGGTATAAAGAAATGTAATTCTATGTTTAACTAAGATAATTTAAAAATAGGGTGAAAACTTATTTTCATTTAAGTCAAAATCAACCAAATTTCGAACTAAATTGGTTGTAAATAGTGATCTGTACAGGAAAAAAAAAGGTGTTTTACAACAATTCAATAAACTATCACAAAAACTTACAGTAAAATGCAATTTTTCTTATTCCCGGGCAACGCTGGGTAGGGTTGCTAGTAACGTACTAAAACAGTTTGATAAAAGCAAAAACTGGCCGATCAGAGAAACAAATTCAGTTTATATGGGGAAAAAAAAGAGCATAATGTTTAAATGTAACAGAGTCTATCTTCTTTAATTACTTTAAAGTACTTTCATTAAAAAAACATTGTGAATTAATTCAGTTACTGTTATAACAGAAGTTGTTTGCATTTATTCAATCGAAGTTAGCCGAGGACATGAAGGGAAAAATAAGCAATATGAAGATCCACTTCAGATCACAATTATTTGGGAATTTTTGAAATTCAGTTTGTCGGTGTGCTATCATGGATGTAAAAGCAATTGTTAGGTTTGATGAAAATTGGTTGAAGTCAAGGAAAAATAAGGAAGAAACCAGTAAAATTTACGCTAGTTTTAACTATATTGGTGGACTTAATTAACAAGTTAAATGATTATTAAACAATCAACTTATT